CAGGAGAGAGGGAGGTTGAAAGGAAGAGTGAGCACACCAGACTGAACAGTCTAGAGTCATAACGATGTAGAATACAGAAAAATAAATTACAGATGTAGTCTATTCTTGCTTTGTTCAAGTACACAAGAAAATATGCTTCTGTGTGCTGTACTGTTCTCTGCACGGTGCTTGGGTCAAGCAATGGAGCACACATGGAAGTGTTTTATTTTGACTCTGTCCAGAGGCCTTTTTTTCCTCTCCTGCCTGCACTTTGAATCAGTCTAAGCAACGAACATGTGTACATAGTGCCTCTGGAAAGACATAAGAAACACAGCCTAAGGTGAAATTATAAACCAAGCATGGGAAATTTGAGAGAAAAAAAAACCACAGAATATTTCAGCACCAGATGATATTGTGAAGAAAAAGTTAGTGTAACAACAATGGGGAAGAGGAATGAGACATCATTAAACAGTTTCCATAAAACAGGAAAAAAGAGACAATGAGATTAACTAGGAGGACAGGAAAAGGGAAGGAAACACTGTAGGAAAGTTAAAATAGAGACCTAAGTTACCTGCTGTAATTTAGTCAATTCACTTGATGTATAGTATATGTGAAGACATTGTATGGAAATTAAATTCTGACACACAAAATAGTACTGAATTACGGTCATACACATAGTCTTGCAGTCAGATCACAAGAATTCACCATGCTCACATTCAGATCTGCTGAGACGGCATGAATTGTCTTTGCCTGCTAAGCACCCACCCAAGGCAGTGGGAGAGACAATACAGCCTGCAAGCAGCAACATGGAGCAAGAACCCTGGGATAAAGTGACAAGCTAAGAAAGAGACACAGGCTGAGGACCACAGAATGCTGTAACGAGAGTACTGTATTACCCACTTCTTGAAAATGCTCTCAGGAAGTTGGTACTTCTAACTATTTATGCTGTAAGACAGAAGTCTACCTTTCAATTACAGTGAAGATAAACTTCATGTCAGACATTGAGAAAATGGGATAAACAAAAAACACATACATATTTCAGAGATATACAATTACATTGGCAGATAAAAATTGGGCAAAAGCCCAAACCAGAAGTATATTTTGAAAATGTGGACTTTGGGGGCTGACACTGGACCATGCCCATCAACAAATGTGAACAGAATTAAATCCTATTCCTTTGCCATTTAGCTTCTGTTTTCTTCACACAGATTTATAAATTTGGCTGGAAAGCACCTAGAATGGTCTTCATCCAACTAAGTGTCAGTGGGATTTAGCAGCTTCCAAATGTTTCAGCAATGATAACAATAATAATTTTGGTGGCAGAGCTGAGGTTCAACTATCCTGTCTCCTGTCTACTGCAGCTTCAGAGGAAGATGTGAAGGTCCTTAACACTGAGTTACCAATACAAGAATAACCTGATTTCCATGTTGCATTTTGACATCTTATGTTAGCTTCATCCCTGCAAGATTATCTCTTCGAACATATTTATCGCTATAAGTAACAATTCAAGATCATCTTGAGATCCATATAAAAGCACAATAATTTTTCAGAGTATCTATCAAGTTCTTGGATAATTTTTCCATCATCACTCTGTTAACATGTTAATTTCTAATGCACCCATATTACAACTTAAGTTCTAATGTGTGTGCATGTAATTTCACCTTTTATAGTACTTTTCTTATTCTAAATAATTTTTTCCTTCCAGTGACACCTTCAATTTTTTTTTTAAAAAAACACTTCAGTTTCAGTTCAACCATTAACACAGCTCTCATGTGCCTCTGACATTTTCCTTCATACAATGTATCACAACAGTTACCTTGCTACTGATGAAATGCTGGACTCAATTCCTTAACAATTTCTTATTTTGCATCAGAAGATGGCCTTAAATAACTCCTTATTTAAAGCAAAATACTGAAATAGGGGTAATAATATAGCAGTATGATAATGGCATCAATTAGTAAAGCCAGGTAGTAAAAGTTTCAAGTCAGTCAACAATTGCTGGACCGCACTCTGATATTAAATTAAAAGCTTTTTTGATGTCAGTGCTTTATCTCCTTTGCCTTTTCAGAGTTCAATTGTACTTGCTAACAGCCTCTGAAAAAGGTAGTGTCTATATAGATAATTACATACACACTCATACATATATGTGTATGTATATGTATACATAAATAAGAAATATAAAATGCATAGGTTTTCCCTATGAAAAACACAACTCTAAAATGTCAGCTATGAGTCTATAACCTATACAATTAACATCAATGAGAATTATAGGGTGCCAAGACCTACTTCTGTTTGTCACAAAACAATATATAGGTGTAATCTTACGTGGAAACAGAAAATGGACACAGGCTCAACCTTCCATGAAGAAAACCAAAATCAGACAGAAGCACTGAACCATAAAAAGCTTAAGTTTTTACATCACACGGGTGCTCCTGAGGTGAAATGCCCCAAAACAGCTGGGCAAAAACAGTAAGTGAGGACTGGCATTTCCCTCCTAAAGTGGCAAAAGCAGCCTCCCGCAGCAGAGCCCTCCAGTGTGTCAGGTCTCATTTGGGGACCTCTTTACCCCTGTCCCGGCTACCTACTGATCCCTCTCCAAATGCAAATAAGTTGCACTCCTGCCAACTCACTAGCCAGGAATAAACCAGGCCATTTTACACAGGACGTTTTAAAACATGTCGCAAACATAAATCATTGAAAACTATCTTCTAGCAGACATAAGGTGAAAAGCAGGAGGAAAACAAATCCATATTTGCATATAGGCTTCACAAAACAATCTCACTTCTGAAAAGGATGATTTGACCCTTTACTGCCTGGCCTGGAAGAGAGTTTCCTTCATTAGCTACTAAACTGCATCAAAGCATAAGCTCTCTAACTATAATATTAAACATCTTCATGGATCAAGACCAACCTTCAGTTAAAAGAAGACAAATACTTTAATATTTATAAGGCGTCTGGGTTCAAATACTGAATCAAAAGAAAATTTTTAGATTAACAATGAATAATCATTTTCCATAAATTAAATTTATTTAAAAGATTTTACCTGCATTAATCAGGTCTGGATCTACTTCATTTTCAAGTGGATAAGGACCCTGACAACAACACAGACATACGTCAGCTTTATATTAAAATACCTTTGAGATACAATTCATAACTGCTTTAGTATTTCTAATGCTTATTACTGAAAACAGATTATCATAGACATGCTTTTTTTTTATGTTTAGCAGAACAACATCCCTGATGATACAAGCCACAATTTACATCAACTAACCTATCAGGACTGATGGACATATTGTTAGAGGCTGTTAGAATTACTAAATAACCACAAAGTGGGGGTTTGGGTTGGGTTGGGTTTTTGGTTTTTTGTTTTGTTTTGTTTTTAATCAAAGTGACAGACGTTTTTCAGGAAAAGGATGTAGGTGCAACTTCATAAAGCCATATGACAGTGAAAATAATATTCACTTTAAGCTTTATTTAAAATTATGTTTGATAAGGCTTACAAGGCTTGGTCTTGCAAACTACTGAAGGTTCTGACTCCTTCCAGCAAAACATGTACTTAAGAACATACTCAGTAATAGCACTATAATCCTTAAATGAGCATTCCCTTAAAAACTTCCTTGCACTACAATCAGAATTTTACAGTCATGCAATATGGCATATATTTGAATATAATTTTTAGTAAAATTACAATCAAGTTGCGCATGGGCAGGGAGTAAAACCCAGCCACTGCAGAGTAAGTACACTGCAACAAGTGACCAAGATACATTCTTACCAAACCCAGGACACCATTTTCGCTCTGTAAGTGAACAGTTATGTCTGGACTAATGAAGTTACTGGCCAACAATGGGATTCCAATACCCAGATTAGCTGAAGAGAATTGGTTAAGGCACAAACAGGAACACACTTACTGCAAAACAGTAAATTTTAAAAAGTTACCATTGTACTATGATTGGATTAGAACCGTTCTTTTCACAAACACTTCCATTTTCATTTAGATGCTTCATATTTTTGATGAATTAGTTTCCCATTTGAACTGTCTAATTCCATTCTGTCAAATGCTTTACATGATAAAAACCCCACAGTGCATGTAAGTTTCATTTCCAACACACATAACTTTTTCAAGAAATTCTTGCAAAACATTCAACTGCTAACAAGCTCCCCAGATATGCCTGGATAAAAACTCCAGGTACCCTATGTCTTAACATCCCATCTATTTCAATAGGGTGTTAATAAAATGACAGAATCCCAGGCTCTGGGAAAGACAATGAGCCTGGTAATTAACCTGTCTTAAACCAGCTGTGGTTTTTACTCTAGTGAGTTGTCACTTTAGCCTATAGCACAGCTGAAGGATACCATACATGCCATCCTCAAACTCTAAAGCAGCCCGTCTGATGATCCTCTCCCTCACATTGTCTCCTTGTTTTTGTTTGGCTTTTGAGTCTTCAGGCTTTCGGATTGATAAGCGCTGCAAAAGAAGTAATTGTAAGTAACGATTAGAATCCAGATTCTTGCTTCTTGAGACACAAAAGCCCGATTTGTAATTGCACTGAGATACTTAGTCTAAGAATAATGTTATTTATCCATCTTCTACAAAAAACGACCTTTTATTCTATCAATTCAAGCTTATCTAAGCCAATGGATTGGTCAAATATCCCCAATGATAGCCTCAGAGCAAAATGTTATTTCTGTGTCTGCATTGCCAAGGCTGAGAGAGTACGTTGATACATAGACACTGGTTAAGAAGGCACCAAGCATTAGTGCAAATACTAGCAACTCTGAGATTCATTACCCCAGAGATACCCAAATAGATTTGTAAAATGTCAGCCTAAAATACAAATACTGCTCTCTTTCTGCAGTCATTCAATTCAATGGTGCTATTCTAGATTTATATGCATGAGAGACAAATGCCAGTCATCTAAAGATACAGGGAGCTAAGCAACTAAGTTTTCAAACATAAATCTGTATAATCTTGTATAAAACTGCCTGAAGTTGCCCCCTGAGATTTCCTGGCCTTAAATTGATGCTTTCTGAATCACATGTAAGTGAAAATGCCATGACATTCAAGAAATTTGTAAGACTTTTTTTATAAATTATTGTTTACATAGATTATGTTCTTTGTACATCTCTCCCATGCATATAAAACTGATCTGGGCAACACCATGTCCTGCACCACCGTATGTCTTCACATCCTCTCCTACTTCTGGCCATAATGAACACATTCACGCAAAATCATCCTCTGTTCCTTTTCATCAGCACAAAAGAATTTTTGCAGTGTCTTTTTTCCCCATGTTGGGAGACAATTTCCTTTTAGGCAGTCAGAAACAGTCAGTATCAATCCTCTTGAATTTCCCAGCAACTTTCTTTTTATGCCTTGGCTATTTTCCAACTTCATTTGAGAGTTATGGACAAAGAACAATCACAGAGGGTTTCTCTGCAGTAAAGAGAAGGTTGGATAGAAAGTATGACTTGCACTACAGGGACCATGTCTCAGCCAAATTAGGCAGGAACTGCTATTTAAAGCCAGTAAGAATTGACAGACTAGCTTCTAGGGGAAATCATGCTTGGCCAACCTGATAGCTTTCTATGATCACATGACTGGCTGGATAGATTAGGAAAGAGCAGTGGATGTTGTCTAACTTGACTTCAGCAAGGCTTTTGACATCATCTCCCGTAATGTCCTCACAGGTAAGCTCAGGAAGTGTGGACTGGATGAGTGGACAGTGAAGTGGATTGAGAATTGGAGGAATGGCAGAGCTCAGAGGCTGTGATCAGCAGCGCAGAATCTAGTTGGAGGCCTGCAGCTAGTGGTGTTCCTCAGGGGTCAGTTCTGGGTCTGGTCTTGTTTAACTTAGGCATCACCGACCTGGATGAAGGGACGGAGTGCACCCTCAGCAAGTTCGCTGATGATACAAAACTGGGAGGAGTGGCTGATAGATCACAAGGCTGTGCTGCCATTCAGCGAGACCTGGACAGGCTGGAG